CACTATAATATCAACCTTGAATTCTCTGGATGATATTTCTTGAGCAGATCTTTCAGCGGAGGTGTGTGAGGTCCGCTATGTCCTGTCTCTCTCTGTTAGAACAGTCATTATCACCTGATTCCTCCCCACTCGGCCACACTCTACAGGTTACCAGATGTGTGTTTTATAGACGCCATGGGCAGCCCCATCAATCAATATGTCTTAAGCATGGAAGAATCTAACACATTTTAAATGGTGTTCCATTTCTCTCTGTATAAATTGCCCATCAGCTGTCTCTGTGTAAAGTGTCTTCGTATCAAAAGAAGTGGGAGATGTGCTGTGCCGCAATTACCCGGTAATGGCAGAGAGCCGTAATTGGGCCATAGGCAAGACATACAACGTGCAGTCCTATGGCTCAGCACACGGCCTCCTTTTGTGTAGGACATTCACCACAGCATGAGAAATCTCGCCACTACTTCTAGCCAACTTGGGGTATTTTTAGCCCACTTTGGCTTTTTGTGTCTCCTAAGAGAAGAACGTTTTACTCAAAACAGGGCAGAAGCAAGATTTTCATGGCAAATTAAAAATGTGTATTTTAAAACCCAATTAGTTACATTGGTGAACAGTGGGAAGAATGTCCCTTACATTGGTGGTCAGTGGGAAGAATGTCTCTTACATTGGTGGTCAGTGGGAAGAATGTCCCATACATTGGGGGTCAGTGGGAAGATTGCCCCTTACATTGGTGGTCAGTGGGAAGAATGTCACATTGGGGATCAGTGGGAAGAATGTCCCTTACATTGGGGGTCAGTGAGAAGAAAGTCCCTTACATTGGTGGTCAGTGGGAAGAATGTTCCCTTACATTGGGGGTCAGTGGAAGAAATCCCTTACATTGGTGGTCAGTGGGAAGAATGTCCCATACATTGGTGGTCAGTGGGAAGAATGTCCCTTACATTGGGGATCAGTGGGAAGAATGCCCCTTACATTGGGTGTCAGTGGGAAGAATGTCCCTTATATTGGTGGTCAGTGGGAAGAATGTTCCTTACCTTGGGGTCAGTGGGATGAATGCTCCTTACATTGGTGGCCAGTGGGAAGAATGTCCCTTACATTGGGATCAGTGGGAAGAATGTCCCTTACATTGGGGGCAGTGGGAAGAATGTCCCTTATATTGGTGGTCAGTGGGAAGAATGTTCCTTACCTTGGGAGTCAGTGGGATGAATGCCCTTACATTGGTGGCCAGTGGGAAGAATGTTCCTTACATTAGTGGTCAGTGGGAAGAATGTTCCTTACATTGGGGGTTAGTGGGAAGAAGAATGCAGTGGGAAGAATGCCCCTTACATTGTTGGTCAGTGGGAAGAATGTTCCTTACATTCATGGTCAATGGGAAGAATGCCCCTTACATTGGGGGTTAGTGGGAAGAATGTTCCTTCCATTCGTGGTCAGTGGGAAGAATGCCCCTTCCATTCGTGGTCAGTGGGAAGAATGCCCCTTCCATTCGTGGTCAGTGGGAAGAATGCCCACCCACTTACTGTGATTTTATAAGGTAAAAGATCATTGGGTTCAAGTCACTGGCTCTGCCAAGTGGCAATGTACCTGGGACTCTGTGAGCACCATCAGATGGGAGGTCAATCAGCTTCAGTTGAAGGAAACCCCTTAAGCAACTTCTAAAGCAGCCATTCTCAGCTCTCATTCCTCCAGAGGTTGTAGGTGTTCCTGGGACTGTGGCTGAATGACCTGCATAGTTCCAACACCACTTGGCAAAGCCATCCGCATGACTCCCAGTAATTATTTTAACTGTGCAGGGAGCATTTTTCCTTTTGACCACCTACTGTATCTATTGGTTTTAGCAAGGGTTTCCCTAAATCTCAAAAATATTTCAGGTGGTTCCTTTGGGGAAAAAAAACAGCTGAGAAACCTCCTCCTTACCTCTTGTGTTTTCAAGACAGAATGTAAAGGGAAATCTTCCCAGTGGGAAATAGCAAAATATAAACTAACATGTCTGAACATACTCCACCCAAAGCAAAAAAAAAAATGCCTATAGGTCAGGGGCGGACTAACAATTCATGGGGCCCCCGGGCAATAGGGGATCATGGGGCCCCTGTGTCCTTGCCCAAACTCAAAAAAGACTATGAAAAAGGTACCAGGGGCATCTCATGGGGCCCCCTACTGACCCCGGGCCCTCGGGCAGTGCCCAAGTTTCCAAATGGTCAGTCCGCCCCTGCTATAGATATATTTAACTGCAGCACCTTAAAATTTGGTCTCCTCTCATGCCAGACAGAGCTGTTCTGTGGGGCAGGTCTGTGTAAATCTCAGACATGGATGGACAGAAGCAAAAACCCTTTGGCAGGTAATACAGTTCTTTCATTTTAACTGTGTGTTTGGATATTTTCAGCTTTAAAAAAAGGTTTACAATTTATTAACCAAATGTAAAGTTTAGGCCTTTGGGTACACATGGTTAGACTTTTACCCCGCACCATCCCTTTATGGATATCGGCTCCTTTTAGCATTCTTCCAGCGATACATGGAAGTCCTCTTCTCGGCTACAATGTGCACAGACAACTCAACTTCTAATATAAACCTGTACTGCTGCTCCTTCAACGTTTTGTATATTATTCTCAGATTATACACTTTAACCAGCAGGGTGCATGGCTGTATAACTTGTCAGAAAACAATGTAGTACTGATTTAAAGATTCTATACCGGTGTCTTAAATAGACACACAGCGCCCCCTGCTGACCTGGGCTCTGGTACTGCAATACCGCTACACGTGGATTGCTATTCTCCCTTGCCTTAGTGATATATTATTATTATACAGGATTTATATATTATTATTATTATTATACAGGATTTATATATTATTATTATTATACAGGATTTATATATTATTATTATTATACAGGATTTATATATTATTATTATACAGGATTTATATATTATTATTATTATTATACAGGATTTATATATTTATTATTATACAGGATTTATATATTATTATTATTATTATTATACAGGATTTATATATTATTATTATACAATATTTATATATTATTATTATTATACAGTATTTATATAGCACCAACAGCACTTTACAATATAATGGGAGACAATTCAGCAACGATACCGTTCAATACAAGAGGGTTAGGAGGGCCCTGATCCTGGGAGCTTACAATCTAGGAGGGAGGGGTTCTTTAAAGTGTTTAAATTAAAAGCCATTCTGCAGACCTAGGATAAAACGTTACCACTTAATCCAGTCACATTTTCTATAATAATAAATGTTTTAAAGCAGACATTGCATGAAAATGCATGGTCTATCTTGCACGCCCCACCCCCCATGTAAAAATCCTAATTGAAAGCAATAAATAAAATTAGAAAATAAATTAAAATATTAATTACATATATATATATATTTATTTATAATATTATACAGGATTTATATAGCGCCAACAGTTTGCTCAGCGCTTCACAATATAAAGGGAGACAATACAGCAACAATACAGTTCAATACAAGAGGGATAGGAGGGCCTGATCCTTGGAGCTTACAATCTAGGATATATATATATATATATAATATATATATATATATATGGCAACTGTTAAAACTGTTAAAAAATGTTTTGTATTTTTATTTATATATATATATATATATATATATATATATATATAATTTTTTTTTTTTTTTTTCAAAATTTTTGGTCTTTTTTCATTTATATCTCAAAAAATTAAAAACCCAGTGGTGATCAAATACCATCAAAATAAAGCTCTACTTGTGTGAATATAAATTTTGTTTGGGTACAGCGCTGCATGACTGCACAATTATTTTTTATATATATTATATTTTTTTTTTTATTTTTTTTTTTACTGCACCAATGACACAAAGGCCTGGTCATGGTGTTGTCAGGCATATTGTAACTGGGCTTTTTTGTGACATTGGACATTGGCCTTTCTGGCACCTCCACCAAACAGCTCATTTTTGTTCAAGTATCACCGTATTGTACTCCTTCAAAACAAGCACACCATCTTCTTCCAGAGCAGCCTGTATTTCTTTTGAGGTTACCTGTGGGTTTTTCTTTGAAAAGTTCCATATGTTATTATTTTAATTTTATTTGTTTCAGGTACTTCTATAGCGCCATCAATTTACTCCGCGCTTTACATATATATTGTACATTCACATCAGTCCCTAACCCTCAAGGAGCGTACAATCTAAGGTCCCTAACTCACATTCATACGTATACATATGGCGTTAGAGAGGATCCAATTAACCTATAGCATGCCTTTTGGAGTGTGGGAGGAAACCAGAGTACTGGGGGGAAACCCATGCAGGCACAGGAAGAACAATCAGACTCTAGGCAGGTGGTGCCATGGTTGGGATTCAAACCAACGACCCTTGATCAGCCAGGCGGAAGTGCTAACCATTTACCCCCTGTGGTGCCCCTGTTAGTGTATGAACTGGTTTTTAAAGCAGACATTGCATGAAAATGCATGGTCTGTCTATCTTGCACGCCCCACCCCCATGTAAAAATCCTAATTGAAAGCAATAAATAAAACTAGAAAAAAAATTAAAATATTATATATTTTTTTTATTTTTATATAATATTTATTCTGCACAGTCTCTGATCCAGGCTTTCTTCAGTAGGCACCCTAGCTAGGACCTCAATGTCTTTAAAAAGGCACCTCTGTCTTTTTGCCCTGGGGGCAGAGCCCACAGCACAGGGATCAACTCCAGAAGGCTGATACTTTTCTCCTTGGCTACCAGGCCTCAGAATATGTATGGGCCTCCACTCCACCTTCTGGGAACACCTCCCTAGGGACTGGCCAGAGCACCTTAAATATTCAAACTGCCTGTGAGACACTGAACTGCCACAAGCAATCAACCCCTTCTCCACTCTTTGCAGAGGAGCTAACTAAATTTACCTAACAGCCTACCGTGAACAAGGAGGGGAGGGTGCTACATTGGGAAAACATCATGCTAGCTATTGAGATGACCTGAAATTGTTACTGAATATGAATTCTGCTCTCTTTATACAGGCCGACTTGAACTGTAATATCCAGGACGATGCCGGGGCGTTCTACGGTGTAACGAGTCAGTACGAAAGCTCGGAAAATATGACCATCACCTGCTCAACTAAAGTCTGTTCGTTTGGGAAACAAGTGGTGAGAAGGTGGAGGTACGGCACGACGTATTTCACACGTACAGGGAATGGTGTCCTTTGTGTGGGGTCATGTCTGGAATGATTGGATCTGACTGTTTATATTCATCTTCGGATCTTCCCTCTCTTGTGTTTACAGACAGAATATGCAAGGTTTGAAAATGGCCGATTCGTGTATAGGATAAACCGCTCTCCCATGTGTGAATATATGATAAATTTTATCCACAAGCTGAAGCACTTACCGGAGAAGTACATGATGAACAGCGTGTTGGAAAACTTTACTATTTTGTTGGTAGGACATTTCTTTCATAACAGATGCTCTATCTATGCAAAACCTGATTTTGGGTAAGGCTACCCCTGCATCCTACTGACACTCACCTGTCCAGCACTCGCCCACTGCTCCTTTCACCATCATGGACACCACCAAAATACCCGATGTTGGAGCCTACAGGAGGCAGCGACATCCCACATGGAAGAAAAATATATTTTAAAACTATTATTCTCAAATATATTGACATATATTTGAAATACTACACTTTAGGACGCACGCACGCACGCACGCACGCACACACACACACACTCGAATGTTCAGTGTATTGTAAATAAATTCAGCAGAAATGCATGTCTAACAAATGATGACTGATCTGCATGTTCATAAGGGAAATAAGACTTAGTACTTGGTGGCAAATCCCTTGTTGGCAATCACAGAGGTCAGACGTTTCCTTTAGTTGGCCACCAAGTTTGCACACATCTCAGGAGGGATTTTGGCCCATTCCTCTTGGCAGATCCTCTCCAAGTCATTAAGGTTTGGTGGCTGACGTTTGGCAACTTGAACTTTCAGCTCCCTCCACAGATTTTCGATCGGATTAAGGTCTGGAGACTGGCTAGGCCACTCCAGGACCTTAATATGATTTTTCTTGAGCCACTCCTTTGTTACCTTGGCCGTGTTTTGTCATGCTGGAACACCCATCCACGACCCATTTTCAATGCCCTGGCTGAGGGAAGAAGGTTGTCACCCAAGATTTGATGGTACATTGCCCCATCCATCGTCCCTTTGACGCGGTGCAGTTGTCCTGTCCCCTTAGCAGAAACCCCCCCCAAAGCAGAATGTTTCCACCACCATGTTTGACAGTTGGGATGGTGTTCTTGGGGTCATAGGCAGCATTCCTCCTCCTCCAAACACGGCGAGTTGATGTCAAAGAGCTTGATTTTGGTCTCATCTGACCACAACACTTTCCACCAGTCCTCCTCTGCATCATTCAGATGTTCAGTGGCAAACTTCAGACGGGCCTGGACATGTGCTTTCTTGAGCAGAGGGACCTTGCGGGCACTGCAGGATTTCAGTCCTTGTCGGCGTAGTGTATTACCAATTGTTTTCTTGGTGACTGTGGTCCCAGCTGGCTGGAGATCATTGACAAGATCCTCACGTGTAGTTCTGGGATTATTCCTCACTGTTCTCATGATCATTGACACTCCACGAGGTGAACGATTGCACCAACTGTTGTCACCTTCTCACCAAGCTGCTTGGCCATAGTTTTGGTAGCCCAGTCCAGCCTTCTGTAGGTCTACAATCTTGTCCCTGACATCCTTGGACAGCTCTTTGGTCTTTGCCATGGTGGAGAGTTTGGAATCTGATTGTTTGATTGCTCCTGTGGACAGGTGTCTTTTATACAGGTAACAAAATGAGATTAGCAGCACTCCCTTTAAGAGACTGCTTCTAATCTCCGCTTGTTAACTGTATGAGAGACACCTGGGAGCCAGAAATCCTGCTGAATGATAGGGGATCAAATCCTTATTTCCCTCATGAACATGCAGATCAGTCATCATTTGTTAGACGCATTTCTGCTGAATTTATTGTTGCTATTCTGTCTCTCGTGTTACAATACACCGAACATTCGATTTTTAGACCGATCATTTCTGTGTGAGGGGCAAACATTCAACATCAGCAGGGGAGCAAATACGCATTTCCTTCACTGTATATATATATATATGTGTATGTATGTGTATATATACATACATACATACTCACATACACACACACACACTATATGTTGAAATGCGTTTTTTATAGATTACAAAATATATGAAAAATATTTTAAAAAAAAATATTTTTTTAAATATATTCAGATTTTTTTTTAACCTATAAAAAAGTCATTTTAACATATATTTGTAAATACATTCCAAAAATGTAGATTAAGTGCATTTTTAAAGACTGGCCTGGTCAGAAAGGGGGGGGGGGGAATCCTGTGGAGGGCGAGGGGTTAAGTTCTACTTTACCACAACGTTGTGCCATTTTGCCGTTTAACAGTTTCTTTTTCTCTCTCTTTTTTTTTTTTCAAGGTGGTAACAAACAGGGATACACAAGACACACTACTGTGCATGGCGTGCGTATTTGAAGTGTCAAACAGTGAACACGGAGCACAACATCACATCTACAGGCTGGTGAAAGAATGAATGTAGTCTCTGCTCCCCCCCCCCCCCCACCCCCACTCCATATATCCCATTTAGACAAACACTAAAAAAACTTCACAATGGACACTGACTAAAACCTCAACACTAGCGGCAGCGCCTAAAGCCCACCCAACGTTTCTCTCTGCTCTGTTTATTTCAATGGCGTCATTTCTAATTTGTTTATAAATTAATTGTAGCTGTGAAACATTACAGTTTGTAAAGATTTCTTAAAAAAGTGGAAAAAAAAAGCAAAAAAAAAAAAAAAAAAATGTTGGGGAGAACGCGTTGTTGCCTTGCAGAGCAATCGCACAGCGTAGTTATCCAGCAGTGACACAGTTAAATGGTGCCACAGCTACTTAAAGTAGTCTCTGTCTGTGATCGCTTATCATAAAGGAATTTAAAAAAAAAAAAATCAAATCACCGATTTTTCTTTGTAAAAAAAAAAAAAAGCCTTTAATGTTTTTTTTTTTTTTTTTTTTTTTAATGCTTGGACAATACAAGCAAGATACATTTAAAATGTATGAATGTAAACAGACATTTTTAATTGTAAACCTTTATTTTTTTTTTTTTTTTAACTACCTGAGGGAAATGCATACGGACGAATGTAATTCTCTAAGTTATTTTAAGGAATTTTTTTTTTCTGTTTTAAACCAAATTATATATGCTTCAGATGTGCCTGAAATGAGGCGGGAGGATTTTTTTTTTTTTTTTTTTTTTTATGTTTAGTCCACAACACTATTTTAAAAACCGGTACAGCAATTTAAACCAGCCCTTGTAGAAAAATATCTATTATATTCAAATGTAACGTACTGTACTAATTCAAAGATTTTAGGATAGCAAAACAAAGATGGCTTATTTTGCAATAAATTAACTTTTTTTTTTATTTTAACTTACACAAATTATTTTTTCGTCTTTTTAGATGTTTTATATTTAATTTTAACAGAATGGAGTGAAAGTAATTCTGCTGTAAATCTGTTTTTTTTTTAATATAAAATTTGTACAAATGCAGGGTTTTAATGGACCTAAAATCAACACCACTGAAATAGCCTTCAGCCCATGCGTGCTCCATCTGGGTCCCACAAGTTGCTCCCGGTGTGCCCTCCATCTGGAATCCACAAGTTGCTCCCAGCGTGTGCTCTTTCTGCGTCCAACATGTTGCTCCCAGTGTGTTCTCCATCTAGGTCCCATGAGTTGCTCCAGTGTGCCCTCCATCAAGGTCCCACGAGTTGCTCTCAGTGTGCCCTCCTTCTGGGTCCCACAAGTTGCTCCAAACGTGTTCCATCTGGGTCCAACACATTGCTCCCACCGTGTGATCCGTCTAGGTCCCACGAGTTTCTCCCAGTGTGCCCTCCATCAAGGTCCCATGAGTTTCTCCCAGTGTGCCCTCCATCAAGGTCCCATGAGTTGCTCCATCAGAGTGTGCCCTCCATCAAGGTCCCATGAGCTGCTCCCAGTGTGCCCTCCATCAAGGTCCCATGAGCTGCTCCCAGTGTGCCCTCTATCTAGGTCCCATGAGTTGCTCCCAGTGTGCCCTCCATCAAGGTCCCACGAGTTGCTCCCAGTGTGCCCTCCATCAAGGTCCCACGAGTTGCTCCCAGTGTGCCCTCCATCTGGGTCCAACGAGTTGCTCCCAGCGTGTGCTCCATATGGGTCCAACAAGTTGCTCCCAGCGTATGCTCCATCTGGGTCCCCAAGTTGCTCCTAGCGTATGCTCCATCTGGATCTCACACTTTGCTCCCAGCATGTGCTCCATCTGGGTCCCACGAGTTGCTCCTAGCGTGTGCTCCATCTGGATCCAATACGTTGCTCCCAGCGTGTGCCTTATCTGGGTCCCACACGTTGCTCCCAGTGTATTCTCCATCTGGGTCCCACAAGTTGCTCCCAACGTGTTCCATCTGGGTCCCAAAAGTTTCTCCCAGCATGCGCTCCATCTGGTTCCCACATATCGCTCCCAGCATGTTCTCTATCCGGGTCCCATGCGTTGCTCCCAGTGTGTTCTCTATCCGGGCCCCACGCGTTGCTCTTAGCGTGTGTTCTCAATCCAGGTCCCATGCGTTGCTCCCAGTGTGTTCTCTATCCGGGCCCCACGCGTTGCTCCCAGCGTGTGTTCTCAATCCAGGTCCCACGCATTGCTCCCAGCGTGTTCTCCATCCGGGTCCCATGCGTTGCTCCCAGTGTGTGCCTCATATGGGTCCAACATGTTTCTCTAATTGTGTGCTCCATCTGGTCCCACAAGTTGCTCCTAATCCTTTCCATCTGTTTGGCATGGCCATGTATAGAGCAGAGGCATTGGTTGGTTACCTCTACCTGTTTAGCCTTTCAGCTTCACAGAAGACATGCACAGAAGGCTGGGCTCCAAGAGATTATTAAGGTTAAAAAAATACATCTCTCCATCATATGGGGTATCCCTAGGGGCTCCCAGAATAGTCCAAACAAAGTATGAGAGCACCACAGGTCTGTAGGATCTCAAGAAAAATGTATTAATCTTGATAAAAGGTTAGACAACAAAGCCAAAACATTGCAGGGGCTCAAAACTCCTCCATCAGGACTGACAAAGATCATATGAAGTAGTATAAATCAGAAGATCTAAATTTGGTGAATACGTGTATAGTTATGGAAGCATGGTCTACTGTGAAACCAAGTATGGTTATGCAGTAGACCAGCTTTTCTTAACCAAGGTTCCTCAAGAAGGTACAAGGGGTTCCTAGAGATTTGGCTGATTGGCCTTCCATTTGATGGCACCTGCATAATTCTGGGGCCAATGCCACTTGGCAGAGCCAGCTGCATGACCCCAATGATCTTTTTAGCTGGATGTAAGGGTGTCATTCAACACCACTGTAAGGGGGACATTGTTCCCTCTGGCCACCAATGTAAGGGGGCATGTTTGCCACTGTGCCTCAATTAATTGGTTTTAGCAGGGGTTCCCTAAGACCTAAAATTATTTCAAGGGTTCCTCTGGGATAGAAAGGTTGAGAAAGGCTGCAGTAGACCATACTTTCATAATCGGTGATGAGTGGCCTTTCAGCATTGAGGGTCCACACAGCATCAGACTAAAAGTCCTGACTTGAATTTAGGTTCACTTCATCAAAAAGAACAGGTCTCTGAAATCAGGGCAGGGGGGGACTCAATTCTAGAGGTCTTTAAAAAGAAATCTCACTCAATTTTCAATGTTTCAGAATGGCAAGTTATATCCTAGACTGCCTTCCTCTACCATAACAGCTGTTTGCCAAGTAATGTCCTGGAACTGCACTTTAAATATCAGGTATAGGGATGACCTAGGACATGCACTTGTCCCATTTTACCAGGGTAATGATCTCCCATGTACAAACTGTAACTGTAATATCACATACTCCTCCATCATCCATCTAATCATGCTGCTTCCCTGTGTTGATGAGAAACATTAATTTGTTAAGAATAGCCATTCTCAAGGAGCATTCTGTGGAACCCTACAGTTCCTCCAGAGCCAAGAGCAATGGTGGATTGACCTCACCTTTGGGGGTGCCTGCATAGCTAAAGGTCGAACACCATTTGGCAGAGGCAGCTGCATGACGCCCATGATCTATTCAGCTGTCTGTTGGGTGGCAATCTGACCAATGATGTAAGAGGGCATTGTTCTCTCTGACCGTCAATGTAAGGACCATTCTTCCCGCTCAACACCAATGGTAGGGACATTCTTCCCACTGATCACCAATATAAGGGGCATTCTCCCACTGACCACCAATGTAAGGGGCATTCTTCCCACTGACCTCCAATGTAAGGGGCATTCTTCCCACTGACCTCCAATGTAAGGGGCATTCTTCCCACTGACCTCCAATGTAAAAGGCATTCTTCCCACTGACCACCAATGTAAGGAGCATTCATCCCACTGACCTCCAATGTAAGGAGCATTCTACCCACTGACCGCCAATGTAAGGGGCATTCTTCCCCCTGACCACGAATGTATAGGACATTCTTCCCATTGGCCACCAACGTGAGGAGCATTCATCTCACTGACCATCAATGTATACTCTTCCTACTGACCGCCAATGAATTGTATTTAAGGGGTTCCTCTAAACCTGAATTTTTTTTATAAGTATCCACTGGGGTAAAAAAGGTTGAGAGACCACTTTAGAATGTTTAAAAGAGTGCAACAGGCTGAATTTAAAGCAGAACTTCAGTTTGCCTCCTAGGTGGCTCTTCCCCCTTGGGTGGCACCATTATGGTACATGCCCAGATGTGCCCATGATCTCTGCCCGGTCTTTCGTCTCCTCGCCGAAGTAACACAGGGATCAGTAGGGAATTGCCTTACAAAAAAATTGCACGCACCCCGTTCATTCTGAGCAGTTTGGAATAAAAAGCTAAGAACGTGTGCATTTTGTACCCCTCTCCCCCCCCCATCACCCTCTAACTTATTTTTGTAAGCCTCATTAACTAGAGGATAAATGTATAAATCTATATGTGTGTTTTATATACATGTTCCATTTTGATAACAGCAGCATTAAAGCAGAATACTTTCACTCCAGGTCTGTCGGTTTTATAACACTAACCCCCGGCCCGGGTCCTCGGATGGGTGTATAAGCCTTTGTGTTAACAAATGTTTGGTGGGGAAGGGGGGGTGGGGTGTACTTTCTGATTCTTTCAAACACTTGTATTTTAAGTTAAACACTACTTCTTAAATTACTGTTTTTTAATGTTTATGTATCTGTGACAACTTCAGTGAAAACTACAAAGCCAACTCCACTCAAAACATAAAATATACATTTTGGATGTTTAGCATTTTTTTTGGGGGGGGGGGGAGATCAAATCCCCCCCTGTGAACAACGAACAATGAGATTTCCCTGTAGTAGTTTGCACCTGCCCCAAGACATAAAGCTGTCCATGTTGCAGCCATCTGAAACCATGGAGGTGGGAAAGCACCAATTTGTAGATGGCTCCACCCTACAGTCCCTGGGTAATATAGTAAGCCAGCTTGTGGTTTTTTTAGGGTGGGGTAGCGCCAACCTGAATTCCTGGAGATGCCTCCACTCCAGAGTCTCTGAGTGATACAAGAGGCCAGCTTGTGGTTTCTTTCGGTGGGGGGGGGGGTGTAGTACCAGCCTGAATTTCTGGAGAAGTCTCCACACTGGAGTTCCAGAGTGATACAAGAGGCTAGCTTGTGGTTTGTTAGGGTGGGGTAGCGCCAAACTGAATTCCCTTAGATGCCTCCACTCCAGAGTCTCTGAGTGATACAAGAGGCCAGCTTGTGTTTGTTAGGGTGGGGTTTTTTTTGCATCCACTCCAGAGTCTCTGAGTGATACAAGAGGCCAGCTTGTGGTTTTTTTTCGGTGGGGGGAGGAGGGGGGGGTGGGTGTAGTAGCAGCCTGAATTTCTAGAGAAGTCTCCACACTGTAGTCCCAGAGTGATACAAGAGGCCAGCCTGTGGTTTGTTAGGGTGGGTAGCGCCAACCTGAATTCCTGGAGATGCCTCCACTCCAGGGGCTCTGGGTGATACAAGAGGCCAGCTTGTGGTTTCTTTTGGGGGGGGAGGAGGGGTGTAGTACCAGCCTGAATTTCTGGAGAAGTCTGCACACTGGAGTCCCAGAGTGATACAAGAGGCCAGCTTGTGGTTTGTTCAGTGAGGAGCAGCACCAACCTGAATGCCTGGAGATGCTTCCACACTGGGTTCCTTAAGTGATTTAAAAAGCCAGTTTGTGCCAGTTGTTTTACCCCTGCTGAGGGAAAATGGATCATGATTTGCTGGGATTTTTGCTTTCCTCTGGATCAACTGTGGGTATAGGATTATAACTTTTTGTTTTAATGGTTGCACTGGATGGACTTTATTTTTTTTTTTTTTTTTCAGCCAGACTATGTAACTATGTGGTTACTTCAGTTGGGGTGAGTGGGTGGGTAGTGCCAACCTAAAATTCCTGTAGATGATTCCACACTGGAGTCCCTGAGGGATATAAAAGGCCAGCTTGTGGGTTCTTTGTTGGGGAGGTATCACCGACCTAAATTCCTGGAGTTGCCTCCACACTGGAGTCCCTGAGTGATATAAGAGGCCAGCTTGTGGTTTCTTTGTTGGGGAGGTATCACCAATCTAAATTCCTGGAGTTGCCTCCACACTGGAGTCCCTGAGGATATAAGAGGCCAGCTTGTGGTTTCTTTGTTGGGGAGGTATCACCAATCTAAATTCCTGGAGTTGCCTCCACACTGGAGTCCCTGAGTGATATAAGAGGCCAGCTTGTGGTTTCTTCGGGTGGGATTAGGGAGTAGTGCCAACTTGAATTCCTGGAAATGCCTCTACATCAAGTTCCTTGAATGATTTAAAAGGCCAGTTTGTGGTTTTCTTCACTGGAACCCACAATACGTAATTGGGTGGAGTTGGCTTTGAAGATCTACAGGTGGAAGCATAGAACCGCAGAACTGGGTGGATGCCTTGCCTTTCTGTCCTTCACACTGTGAAGGAGCAAATATTTTATTACACTACTTTCTAAATGGCCTAAACAACAAAAAACTGTCATTTTTCTGAATAGCCTTAACCCTCCTCTATGTACTCACATCGAAAAAGTGTCCTGTAACTATGAGCCCTTTTATAAGCTGGAAGAAATTAATTTATCATCTAGAACTTTTTATTAAAGATTATTATTACCACTCAAAGCTGCCAAAGCATTTTTGAATGCAGTGCCTTAGAGATAACTTCAGAGAGCCTGTCAAATGCGTGGAACAGTTCTCAGTCCCAAAACAAACCAAACTTTTTGTTTTTGAAAATGTACTCTTGTTTGCTGAACATATTGGGTGATGGAAGGTTTAATTCTGGGTGAGATTTGTACAGTGTGGCCCCATATTTTCTATGAATATCGGGGCTTTTGAAAAGAAAGAATGTCCATTCACACCTCTGCGTTCTAACATCCATCTCACAGTTGAGGGCACTTGGCAATGTGCTCTGGATGTGGTTCAGCGCAATGCATTGCAGGTACCTTGTTGGTGCCTCGTAGCAGCACAAAAAACAGTTTTAACTGTTCTCCAACAAATCAGATGGGCTCACTATTATTATTTTTTTATCAAGCATGCCTAATGAAGAATTAATTTATCAGAATGCTCTGGCCTTACACAAAGCTATATTGTAGAGAGTTGTAAAATTGTAACTTGGATAGGAAGAGGGTGAGGGGTCCTATTTATGAAGGGTCAATAGAAGATTCACCATATATATTACCTAATCTTTGGTGGAAGGGGGTAAGGGGTCCAATATATGAAGGGTCAATAGAAGATACACCAAAATACATTAACTGGTGTTTGGTGGAAGGGGGTGAGGGGTCCTATTTATGAAGGATCAATAGAAGATTCACCATCTACATTAACTGGTGTTTGGTGGACCCTTCATTAGAAGAGTCACTATCTACATTAACTGGTGTTTGGTGGAAGGGGGTGAGGGGTCCTATTTATGAAGGATCAGTAGAAGATTCACCATCTCACATTAACTGGTGTTTGGTGGAAGGGGGTGAGGGGTCCTATTTATGAAGGATCAGTAGAAGATTCACCATCTACATTAACTGGTGTTTTGGTGGAAGGGGGTGAGGGGGTCCTATTTATGAAGGATCAGTAGAAGATTCACCATCTACATTAACTGGTGTTTGGTGGAAGGGGGTCTTATTTATGACGGGTCAGTAGAAGAGTCACCATCTACATTAACTGGTGTTTGGTGGAAGGGGGGTGAGGGGTCTTATTTATGACGGGTCAGTAGAAGAGTCACCATCTACATTAACTGGTCTTTAGTGGACCCTTCATTAGAAGAGTCACCATCTACATTAACTGGTGTTTGGTGGAAGGGGGTGAGGGGTCCTATTTATGAAGGGTCAGTAGAAGATTCACCATCTACATTAACTGGTCTTTAGTGGACCCTTCATTAGAAGTCACCATCTAAATTAACTGATGTTTGGTGGAAGGGGGTGAGGGGGTCCTATTTATGAAGGGTCAGTAGAAGATTCACCATATGACATTAACTGGTGTTTGGTGGAAGGGGGTGTGAGGGGTCCTATTTATGAAGGGTCAGTAGAAGATCACCATCTACATTAACTGGTGTTTGGTGGAAGGGGGTGAGGGGTCCTATTTATGAAGGGTCAGTAGAAGATTCACCTATCTACATTAACTGGTGGTTTGGAGTGGGGTGAGGGGTTCTATTTATGAAGGGTCAGTAGAAGTTCACCATCTACATTAACTGGTGTTTAGGTGGAAGGGGGTGAGGGGTCCTATTTATGAAGGGTCAGTAGAAGATTTCACCATCTACATTAACTGGTGTTTGGTGGAAGGGAGGTGAGGGGTCCTATATTATGAAGGGTCAATAGAAGATTCACCATCTACATTAACTGGTCTTTGGTGGGGGGTGACCTTCAATAGAAGATTCACCATCTACAGTAACTGGTGTTTGGTGGAAGGGGGTGAGGGGACCTATATATGAAGGGTCAATAGAAGATTCTCCATCTACATTAACTGGTGTTTGGTGGAAATGGGTGAGGGGACCTATATATGAAGGGTCAAATAGAAGATTCACCATCTACATTAACTGGTGTTTGGTGGAAGGGGGTGAGGGGTCCTATATATGAAGGGTCAATAGAAGATTCACCATCTACATTAACTGGTGTTTGGTGGAAGGGGGTGAGGGGTCCTATATATGATGGGTCAATAGAAGATTCACCATCTACATTAACTGGTGTTTGGTGGAAATGGGTGAGGGGACCTATATATGAAGGGTCAATAGAAGATTCACCATCTACATTAACTGGTGTTTGGTGGAAGGGGGTGAGGGGGTCCTATATATGAAGGGTCAATAGAAGATTCACCATCTACATTAACTGGTCTTTGGTGGACCCTTCAATAGAAGATTCACCATCTACAGTAACTGGTGTTTGGTGGAAGGGGGTGAGGGGTCCTACTTATGAAGGGTCAGTAGAAGATTCACCATCTACATTAACTGGTCTTTGGTGGACCCTTCATTAGAAGATTCACCATCTACATTAACTGGTGTTTCGTGGAATGGGGTGAGGGATCCTATTTATGACGGGTCAGTAGAAGATT